GGTTACTCCCACCCTTTGCCTCTTGTAAATAACGCTGCTATGGACAGAGCTACCAGTTAATGTTCAAGCCCCTACTTTCCATTCTTGCAGGGATCTAACCACAAGAGGCACTGCTGGGTCATGTGGCAATCCTGTGTGTCATTTTTTGAGGAACTGCCTCACTGTTCTTCCTATCAGTTCACTGCAATGTCGGCTTTCACTCACCCAGCCTAGAGGCGGGAGTCAGCCTGTCTTCTAACTCCCCCTGAGACTTGGCCCCAGAGACCTCCCAGCAGAGCCCTCTCCCATGAGGTCCTTCCATGAATTTCCGCAGCTGGCCAGCCTACCTGGGTTGGCTATAGCCAAGCACCGCGGTTGCTGCCAGGCCATCAATCGGCCGCCTTCTCCTTCCTGGGCTTCCTCACCCAGTGGGAACACGCCCTGTCACTACAATGTGCTAACAGCCACCACACACTGACATTTCTCCCCCTTTCACCAAGTACTATGCCCTAATTACAGGATTACAGCCACTGTGGGCACTCCTCCGAGAATCCAGCAAGAGCCTCTATTGTACAGGAACAACAGGCCACCCTGGGCAGGGAGATTAGAAATCAGCACATCCTACAGTGGAGTCTTTGCCAAGGAGAGCATTAACCCACACTGATCATTGAGTCACCGGGACCAGGTTTTAGGGCCAGCATCTCAGTTGTTTTAATGAAGTCTTAAAAGTGGGAGGTTCTGGCCAGTTTCCACATTCTGCACCTAGGCCCAGAGAAAGAACTTAAAGGTGAACCTCTTACCTTTGGCAGCGTTCAGCTCACCTGGCTTTCACTCATTGTCTGCTATGCTTCTCATAGTCCTTGGAATAAACAGGATCCCTTCTCTCTAGAAGAAGAGACAGGAGTTCAGGAAGTGTTAGTGACTCACCCAAAGCCACATAGCTAGTAAAGAGCGGGTTCCACTGGCACCAAGAGTCTAACCCCAGAGCAATGGATTTCCCACTTCACACTGCTTCTGGGATCCACCCCACCTCCAGGTCAGCGGAAGCCATGGAGAGGCCTGATGGGCTCTGATGGGCCCCGGGGTGATCCGAGTGCACCACACCCTGGCTGGCCAATCCCAGACAGTCCCTTAAACTTCTCTGTGTTGGTTTCTTCTGTTTCCTCTTCCGGAAGACAAATCGAAATAGCTCTCATCTAAAGCTATGCTTCCACTGCACCTGACAGTATGTGGCAGAAGATGGGATGTGAGGCCATCGCTGCCTGAACACCCTCCTTGGCAGAGAAGACGGAAAAGGCAGGAGGGCCTCCATCCCCTCAGCCAGACCCCGTCCCAGCTCTCCCACCTTCCTCAGGAGCTGCCATTCTTCCAACTTACTGCAAGCAGGAGCCTTGAAGACTTACTTACGTTCGCTAAACATTTCTGCAAAGGTTAAAATCTAAAAAGCCTCTTAACCTGTACGAACCTTGTAGACATGAGGCTAAGTGCAATAAGCCAGTCACAAAAGGACAGATTCTGTGAGATTCCACTTACATAAGGCAGGTGGGGCAGTCGCATTCATAAAGACAGAAAGTGAAATGGTGGTTCTGGAGGTGGGGGGGATGGGGGTGGGAAGGGGGGGGGGGAGTTGTTTAACGGGGACAGAGTTTCAGTTTGACAAGGTGAAGAGATCTGCAGGTAGATAGTGGAGATGGTTGCATATCAGTGAGGATATGCTTAATGCCATTGAGCTGTACACTTAACAGTGATGAAGACAGTAAAAATTTGATGTTCTGTGTATTTTACCACAATGAAAAAAAAAATGAAAAAAAATTCTAGGGTGCCTTTTTTAACTCTGTTGGTTAAAAAACTGCCTTCAGTTCAGGTCATGATCCTGGAGTCCCGGAATCGAGTCCCACTTCCGACTTCCTGCTAGGCAAGGAGTCTGTTCTCCTGCTGACCTCTCTTCTATCATTCTCTCTCTCTCTCTCTCTCTTTCTCTCAAACAAAAATTCTAGGGGTGGGGCAGCAGGGAGACTGCACATTTTGCTTAGGTGTTTTTTGTTTTTTGTTTATTTTTATTTTTTTAGCTGTGGGAGCTCATTTCTGTCTGGATATGGTCTGATTACAGCAGTTACCTCTTAAGGGCGGGGGGAGGGGGCGGGGCTCTAATTAGTGTTCAAGATACAGAGTCACCCTTGGGAAATCCTTAGTGAGTGAGAATAGGGCCAACAGGGCCAATTTTCCCGGTGGTGTTGGAACACTGTTTCTCTGAGCATCAGATGCTGCAGCGGACTGACATTCAGGGATCATAGTACAACAGATACTCTGAGTGACTCCTGGGGCAGATATTCACACTGAGGTGCCCTCAGAACCAGGGTTTGCTTGGAAAACAGCAGCTTTCCAGTCCCCCTCATGGTCCTTGGGGCACAAACAAGTAGAATGGGCAGAATCCTCAGCCCCATGGGAAGTGTGGTCTTACTTCTCTTCTTTCCTTTATGCGGAGTTGAATGAATCCAAGCTCAGTGAGTGTGTGAACTGGCCCCACCAAAGAGAACTGGACACGTGCCTTACACTCACCCCTCTGTCCAACTAAAGCTGATGGGATTTCAACCCTAAATTGTCCTCTGACCTCTGTCTGGATCTATTAGCCCTAGAAAAACAGACCTTTTCCCCCAACAGGCACCACTACAGATCCCATCTCACAGATACTCCCAGACACCTGCTCAAACCTGAAACTTTCCAACTTCAAAGGATCTTTTCAGATCTAAGATCCAGTTCCTGGGCCCAGAGTTCAAACCTAAACCATGAAGTTCCTATCTTTTCAAAGAGCTCTATCTTCAAATTAGAAAATACCCCAGAGAAATGGTTCAATCAAGACTCTTCAAGGGGCACCTGGGTGGCTCAGTGGGTTAAGCCTCTGCCTCCAGCTCAGGTCATGATCTCAGGGTCCTGGGATCAAGCCCCGCATCAGGCTCTCTGCTCAGCAGGGAGCCTGCTTCTCCTCTCTCTCCCTGCCTGCCTCTCTGCCTACTTGTGATCTCTGTCTGTCAAATAAATAAATAAAATAAAATAAAATAACTCCTCGAAGACCATATTAGATAAAGCAATGGGTGCGAGCTGACATTGTCTTTCAGACAAATCTGATGACCATCCCCTTCAGAAGGGTTTCAGACAACACCTAGCCCACTTTCAGGCATGACTAAGGGCTCCATAACAAATGAATGGATAACCAGCTGCCCTTTGATGAGTCTGCCATCATTACTTTTTGCTATTCTAAATCAATAAAATATTCTTGAAGATTTATTTAGTTATTTTAGAGAGAGAGAGAGCAGGGGTAGGGGCAGAGGGAGAGGGAGAGAAACTCAAGCTGACTCCCCAATAAGCATGGATCCCAGGACCCCAAAGCTATGACCTGAGCCAAAATTGGGAGTGCCTTGTCAGTGGCTTGGGCTCTTGAGTCTGTTTGTCTGGGTTTCTCATTGCAACTCTGCCATTTTTGCCCTTTGTGATTTGACACAGTGACTGATTTCATGAGTTGCTGCCTCCTCATCTCTTAACTTGTGGATGATGATGGTGATATTACTTAACAGAGTTGTAGTGAAGAGTAACTGTAGCATGTTGATGTACCCACTATAGACTGAATCTTTGTGCCCCACCCCTCCAAATTCATATGTTGAAGCCCTTGCCCCCAGTGTGATGGTATTTGGAGGTGGGCCTTTAGGAGGTAATTAGATTTTGAGGTCATAAGTGTGGGGCCCCCATCATGAAATTAATGTCCCTTTGAAAAGAAGGAAAGCTGAGCTTTCTCTCTCCATCATGTGGGGATACAGCAAGAAGGTAGCCATTTGCAAGCCAAGAGAAGGTCCTCAGTAAGAATAGAATCAGCCCACCCCTTGATCTTGGACTTCTTGACCACGAGAACTATGAAAAATAAATGTCTACTGGTTAAGCCTGCCAGTCTGTGGTGTTTTATATGGCAGCCTGAGCCGACTAATACATACCTGAAGAACTAAGAACAATGCCTGGTTCATAGTAAAACATTCAGTGAATATTAGCATATATTTACATATTTGTTTGGTTTTTTTGAAACTTTATTAAGAAATACTACAGGAAGGGCACCTGGGTGGCTCAGTGTGTTCAGCGTCCAACTCTTGGCTTCAGCTCAAGTCATGATCTCATGGTCATGAACTCTGAATTGGGCTTAGCGGGGAGTCTGAGGATTCTCTCTTTCCCTCTTCCTCTGCCCCTCCTCCTGCTTGCTCTCTCTCTCTCTCTCTCAAATAAATAAATTAATTAAATATTTTTAAAAACATATTACAGGGCACCTGGGTGGTTCAGTCGGTTAAGCGACTGTCTTCAGCTCAGGTCATGATCCCAGAGTCCTAGGATCGAGTCCTGCATCGGACTTCCAGCTGCACAGGGAGTCTGCTTCTCCCTATGACCTTCTACCCTCTCATGCTCTCTCTTATTTGCTCTCTCTCTCAAATAGATAAAATGTTTGGAAAAAAAAAAACATATTGCAGTCATTTTAAAATGTTTAAAGATTTAAAGAATGATCTAACAGTAGACCCACTACCCAACATAAGGTATGAAATATTACCAATAAAGCTGAAGCCCCCATAAACCTTCCTTAACCACCTTCTTTCCTTCCCACCCAGAGGTAATCAGCCTTCTCAGTTTGGTACTTAAACCACTCCCGTGCATTCCTTTATACTCTTACTCTACCCATGTGTGTCTGTTAACAATGAGACTGAACCTTTAAGCCAGGACAGACAGGTGCCTCTTCCAGAAGTATTTAGACATAGAATCTAGCCTGGCATGAAGTGTTGTTGGAGGAAACTGTCTGTCTCCATTTGTCATCTTGCTGTGTGTATCTTTTCACCTTCCTGAGCAGGGAGTATGCCAGTATCTCCAGGTAGACCAGCTGGTGGTACAAGCCATTAATTAGGTCTCCCATCAGCAGGTCTGTGTTTGTCAGAGACTATGGAGCTGCAACCCCAGCCCACCTCTTTGCTGATGCCTCCCTTCCTCCCTTCCAGATGGAGATGCGGCTACAGGATCAGCAGCTGGCCAGACAGCTCATGCGCCTGCGCAGTGACATCAGCAAGCTGAAGATCGAGCAGACCTGTGACCTACATAGGAGAATGCTCAATGATGCCACCTACGAGCTAGAGGAACGGGACGAGCTGTCTGATCTCTTCTGCGACTCTCCGCTGGCCTCCTCCTTCAGTCTCTCCACCCCACTCAAGCTCATTGGAGTCACCAAGATGAATATCAACTCCAGGAGGTTCTCTCTGTGCTGAGAAGCCCTAGAAGGTGTCAGAGGAGCCAGAACAGAATGTTTGGGAGGCGGGGAGGGCATGGAGGTTGCATCACCTTGAGTGAGTCTCCCCAGGGGCAGGGCTTCCCTGTGGTTGGTGTACCATGGGCCCTCAGACCCATGGCAGGTGCTCTGTCAGGGGGCCCGGCTGTGGAGCCCCACAACCCCTTGACTGTCCGTGACCCAAAGCGTTCTGCAGAAGGGCCACTCCATCCAGATGTTCAGTGAGACCCGGCTCCTAGCATGACGCATCTCCATCCTCCCCTCACTAACCCGCATTCCCGTTTCCTCAGAATCACTGGTGCTATGATCTGAGATCCCAAAGAGGGGCCACCAAATGCTATGGTTCTTGCAGAAAACTTACCCAAGGGCACTGAGCCCCCAGGGAGGAGGTGATTAGGTACCTCAGATGAGCCCATCTGCCCTTGCTGTCCTCTAAGTACTGGCTCAGATTCACCATAGACAGGTGACTCAGCAGCCCTGACAGGGACCCAGGAGGAAAGGAAAACCAGAAGGAGTGACAAAGTGGAGCTTGGGAACACAGGCCCCATAGCCATCGCCAGCTTCTCTGCTGAGCGGCCGTCCAGGCTCCTGTCAGTCTTAGACCTTGGCACAACCAGGGCTGTGTCGATTGTTTCTAGTGTGTGCCAGGACACACGGGGGCCACGGGGGCGGAGCAAACACGGATGTCCTCTCTGCTGCCTTCCCTGGCCCCACACACCAATCCCAATCTCCAAAGAGCCCCTTTGCCGTCACCCTGCTCCTCCAGGGGAGTGCCCGAGTGAACCAGGCAAGTCTGTCAATGGATTTCCCAGCACCAAATTCTCCTGGTGGCGTCACCTTTGTCCCCTTCCTGCTCTCCCCAGAACGACTTGAGGAAGCTCAGGAGCTCACCCTGAGCCTCCTCTGACATTCTGTGCCTGATTTAAACCACTAATTTCAATTGAATCAGACTGTTACTAATCTGTTGCTAACGTGTTCAGAGCTGTTTGATTTTTGTCCACATGGTGACACTAGTTGGGTAGGTCAAGTGCAGTAGTTCAGGATTTGACTTGAAAGGTTCTCCCTGATGACAAGCATGAGGATGAGCAAGGCGAGGACCGAGGCCTCAACAGGGAGGAAAGTTAGCCTCAGAACGCCACCTGGTGCAGGTTCTCCAGCCAGCGGGGGGTGGCTTTTGACGTCACCTGGTTCAAGCCTCCTTGTGCATAAAGGAGTAAAGTGAAGCCAGGGAAAGAGGATGACTTCCCTCAGATTATGCAACTCTTTAGTGGCTACAGACAGCCAACAGGTTAAATCATTATTGAGAATGTCAAGACAGATCATATATCAAGGAACTTGAACCCCAGATATGGTCCTAATGCTTTGCCAAACCCACCAACTGCCAAGCCCTCTACACTCCACCTCATGCAGCCCCCAAGTGTACTTCTCACTTTGCAGTCCTGAATATTTGGGTCCAACTTAGAGCAATGCCTGTAAATTGGACCCACAGAACACGTGTTACCCATCACACTTCCATAGTCGAAGTAAGGTGTCCTGATGTTCTTTCGTGTTTCATCTTCCCGTAGAGTCTCTCTGGGCCCATGCACAACACACACACACACACACACACACACACACACACACACACACACGCTCTGACCCACATTGGAAAGGTTGTTCTTCTTTGATGGGCTGGCAGTGGGAGGACATGAATGAGTGGTCCCTAGTTAGAAAAGAACTTGTTCTCTTTCTGGTGACGTCAAAGAGCCAGAAGCATTATGCTTCCTTCACAGAAGGTAGAGCAACATAGCTAAGATGTGTTTTCTGCCTGACTCTGAGCAGTGACTGAAGTGTGAGGCCCAGAGGACTGGTCCGCAGAGGAGACCTCTTGGTGGAACGCCCGACCCTTTAGACCTGCTCCCCCTCAGGCAGGAAGGGAGGGGGATTTTCTCCACCCCAAGCCGTCTCTCCTCAGGGATAATGTACTAGTATTGCCCAGTCCCACCGAGACATTCCTGCCAGGCTTCTCTGAGACGCGTCCTTGGGACGGCAGGGGAGCAGGCAGGCCCACACCCGCCACCCGCTCCGGGGAGGCACACAGGCACACACACTCACACCCACACCCACGCAGGAAAACCCATTCCATCTTCTGAAAGTAATGCCAAAATGGTTTTTTTTTTTCCTTTTCTAGAAATCAGTCATTACAGTAGTTGAAAAAATTGGATTCAACAGAAGCTGATTTCATTAATTTGGTTAGTCCAATTGAATTGGCATCAACTGGGCAATTTAGTTGTTCAGCTCGCCTGATGTCCCCTTCCTTTCTTTGTTCTCTGAGAGGAAACAGAGATCAAGGCACACTTTTTGGAATAGGTTAGATGTCTCAGCTCTTTTGCTTTGTTCACCCCAAGAGAATTTAATTTGGGGATGAGGACAGAGGAGAAAGGGGAGGGGACCAGAGATGAGAGTGGAGGAGGATGGACTGGGTGCGTCTCCTTACTCCTCCATCACTCCGTGTCCGTTAGCCCCTTATTCCACCAGGGAACACAAATAACTCGGCAGGTCGGTTCAGTGTTGTGAATTCCCTGCCTTATGGGGCTCAAGTGATGTCTCTGCGTCACCTGTAATCTCACCTGCATCGCCAGCATCCTGGGGCCACCTTCTGGTGTGCCACATGTACACAATGTTTGCAGTTTAATCATCATCTACCCATCTCTGTCATCCCCAATGACCCTGGGTGTAAACCACAAGGTCTCCACTGACACCGCCGTGCACGGCAGTGCGTGATGCCTTCATGGACTTGGCAGAGATCACAGAGGCCCGGAGAGCCTGGGAAGGCTTGAGAGTGCCTGCTCCAGCCCCGGGTCTCCTCCCTGTAGCAATACCAAGTGCTATTATGTAATTGATGGACAATTTATAATCTTATTTTTTATGATTCTGTGTTTCTATATTGCTGTTAGAAGAAGTGAATAAAAATATTTCAAAAGGAGATACTACATAAGGGGGAGAAATTTTTCTTTTACCTCGTTCCTATTACAGCACACAGAGAAAGAAAGAGAAAGAGAGAGGGAGGAGGAAGAGAGAGGGAGGAAGGAGGGAGAAAGGAAGAGAGGGAGGAGGGAGGGAGGGAGAGAGGGAGGAAGAGAGGCAGAGAGGATGAGTTTGAGATTGACTTTGGCCATGCTTTGGGACATAATTTGGAGGTGAGGCCAACAGTTTGGCTATGGAGTGTGAAGGAAACAGAAGAATGGAGAACCACCTGCTGTCCGGCAGCTGGATGGAGAGGCTACCATTTACTGAGACGAAGATGCCTTGAGGGGAGCATGATTGGGGCAGAGGGACAAGACCAGTAGTTGTGTCTCAAGTGTGGTACATTTAAATGTACTTCCCAGTGGGGAGTGAGTGAGTAGTTGGCTATAGGGACCTGGATTTCAGGAAAAGGTCATTGTTGGAAACACAAATTTGGGAGTCTAGATTTGGGTATTTGGATGATATTAAAAGCACCATGCCTGTATAAGTCAAGGAAGAGAGAGAGGAGGTAAGAGAAAGGCTCTAAGTACCACCTCCTGAGACTCCGGCATCTAGAGATCTGGAGACCAAATGGAAGGTCTGTGGAGGGAGCAGAAGTGACCAGCTGGTGTGGCTGCTCCATTCAGGGGCACAGCCTGATGCTACACTAGCTGCCCAGCAGCCCCAGCTGAGGGTATCCCTCCTGGACTGATGGCATAGGTCACTACGGTCACCACCATGGTGGCTTCCAGAACCCCCTGCAGATCTTAACTAACTTATTTAGAAAGGGTTTTGAACTCTGTTGACAGCATTCCCTTTTGCTTTTTAGCAGGAGCAGAAGGCTGTCCCTGCTCCTGACTCTCCATGGCAAAGGTGGGAGTCTGTGACCCGGGCAGCTGGGGAGGAAGGCTTGGGGGAGAGGTGGGTAGGGCCCTACGGCTGAAAGCTGACAGGGGTCCTGCCACAGCCTATCACAACAGCGGGTGCTCTCTTCAGGGAATGGGCCCATCTCACTGCACGGTTTCAGACCTGACTCTTTTCAAATACCCTGTTTACTGGCTCAAAGCCAACAGTGACAGAGAGAGCAAGGTAGTCTCCAAAGGAAGTAGCTTCAGGAAAGGAAAACTGCAAACGTTTGAGGGCTCTGGCAAGCAGGGTCCCCCTCCCCACCACCACAGGGTGCCAAGTTCAGGGTAGATATTTCCCCAACCAGCAGGGATGGCACCGGCAGTGTGCTCCCTGTGCCAGCTTCCCCGCCCCTAGTGTTTCCTAAACCATTTCACCGAACAGAGAGCTGACCCCCATTGTTACCCTGCCTACCCACTTCTCCACACAGGGATGGCTGAAATGCTAAGAAAGGATTACTTGCTAGAGGACATCTGGGGTCCCAAGGTCAACCTGAGTGAGGGAATGATGAACCAGCCTCCTCATCTCCCCCGTCCCGGGGGGCCTCGCCTCCCCGCTGCCGGCCCAGGCACCGCAGGGTTCCACCTCTTGCACAGTGAGCCTCACCTGGAAGGGGTTGCCATGGTTCAGGGGACATGGGCCGGGGGCCAAAAAAACACTCTTCGCCCTGTCCCATCTGTACCAGACAGGGCTGGGGCGGGAAAGCAGAAGTGACAGCCAGCATTCCAGGAGGGGAAGGATCTGACACGGGGAACTGGGGGCTACAGAATCATTGGAAGGTCTGGAAAGTGATGGCTAGGGAGTGATGCGCTGGACTTCAGCAGGCTCGGCAGATGCCCTCTACCAGGAAATAACAGCCTCGTGTGGGGTCATGGGCTGGACTGTGTTCCCTCAAAATTCAAATGTTGAAGTCCCAGTGCCCCGTAGCTCAGAACATGACTATATTTAGAGATAGAGCCTCAAAAGTGGTCATTTAGGTAAAGTGAGTTCACGAGCCTGGGACTGGTGTCCTTAGGGGAAGAGGACATCGGGACACAGACACACGCAGAGGCAAGACTGTGTGAGGACACGGGGAGAAGGTGGCCGTCTGCAGGCTGAGGAGAGAGGACTCAGGAGAACCCACCCCGGCAGACACCTCA